GAATTTGCTGGATCAGAGAATAAATGAGCTATTGGCGAAAATTTCGAGCGTATCACCACTGAGCGGTTTACTTGCCGGTGTGATCGTCATCGGCGGTCGATTATCGTAGAGTGCCGGCGACTGCAGTAGAATGATCAGCGTGCCGCAGACATTTATCACACTGAATATCATTAACATCAGCCGATCCAGAACCATCGATACGTAACACCAATCTTCAGCCACCTGCATTTGTGAAATCATTTCTAGGTTTTCCATAAAAGCCCGCACCAAAATTATCCAGTGAGTAAGAAAGACTCGCTCAAATTTATCGAAAAATATGAGGGGAAGGGGGAAAGGAGGAAGAAAGAAAAGTAGCAGGATCAGCGGCAATCACCTCAATCACAGGATGACTTCAAACTTCAGTAATTAACTTTTCGCTTGCGTAAAAAGGCTTCATAGTAAATTTGATCCTTTTCGTAGAACAGTTGAAAAGTTCGAGATTTCAATCTTAGATTTTTTTTCAAAAAAGTTCTGAAAACGCACTGCTTTTTAAATTCAAAAATTCTTGGCAGCATCGCTTAAACAGTAAACGTAGCAGGACTGCCAGCAGGTTTGACCAACAGGCGATGGATGTAGCACTGGATAAATCAAATGGAAAAGTTGCCAGCTGCATGATTAGGTAATCGTTTTATGAATTTGAGGTATCATTTTACTAAACAAATACCTTTTGCTTCTTTTTTTATCATAGTTCCATCGAATTCTAGCGATTTAGGCTTATTTTGTTATAAATCAATCAAATTTGATAAATTTCTGCTTTCTTTTTTGCCTAATAATCAAGTTTCTTGCATTTTGTTCTTCTGAGTCCATGGAATTTCCGCTCATGATAAAACCAAAAAGGTCATTTTCAGGTGCAAAACTATAAATTAAACCTCTCGGAAATATGCTTTTTTGCATCTGCATAAAAACGCAACAAAACGCTTGGGAATGAAACTAAATTGATTCCTACTCGGTCATCTTTTTTCATCGCTCTGAAATGATCGGCGATGAAGGATACATTATCGATCATCCGTCGAATCAGATCGGGATGCATTCCACGAAGTTGTGCCAACTGCGACAAGCGCATTTGTCCGTCAATCAAATTCGAAACCGATAGAAAGTACGGGCTGGTCCGACGAGAGGTTGATTCTTTCGAACTTGTCACCACATCTGCAACCAATGACCTCAGTTTGCTCTTTTTGTGCATTTTTTGCATAATTAGTCATTAAACAGCATCGGACCATAGCGATGTAAACGGTTGCAGCTCCAAGCATGCCCAAAAGACGCTGCATCACATTTTGTCCGGTTAAGCTTGGGCGATATGGGTCAGTGTCAGATTTAGAAGTGAATTAAAATGAAGAAGTTACTGACCAGTGGCCAAGATATGGCATTACAAAACTCCAGCATAAAATCTTGAGCACACGAAATGCCAGAAAATTTTTGCTTAAGGCGATATTGTAGTGGAACTGTCGTTAATATTAATATGAATTTTATTATTGTAGTATAAATCGTTAAATTACCTAAGTTTGAGGGCTCGATACGAAATCGGAATGGTCAGCAGACTGACCACCAGAAAAAATGCAACACCGGTCAAACAAGCGGAAAAGCTGGCAACTGCATAACTGGAGAACTATGTTGTG